ATCCAAGATGGCTTCCACGATCCGAAACTTGACGTTCTTGACGATTATCAGGCACAAATAAAATAGATGGACTAGTTCACAGTCTAATAGTCCTCCCCATCCCTCAATTTTGAAATAAAAGACAAGACATACATTTGTCACCGTCATCCATGGTGTTTGTTTGTCATTGGATACCATAACCATCGGAACCCCCTATAAACGACCTAGCCCTTGATTGATCTAGCTTTATATACAAGTACCGAGCTGTGAAATAGTCTAAAAAAAAACCGGGAACTATATAGACTTTCTCCAAAATGGCCGCCGCAAATTCAAAATGATTAAAATTAAACTGAGCGGAAAATCAATACCAGCACCGAAAGACCACCACTTGTTTGTAATCGTACGACGTTCGTTAGGTTAGGTTCTACCTGAGTCGGGAAAAAACGGACGTTGAAAACTGGACAATTTAGAGACGTTTGTATGACTGGGGGTATACGCCATACAAACGTCTCATCGTCGTACGATTACTAAACAAGCCTTCAGGTGCTGGTATTGATTTCCGCTCAGTTTAATATGAATTTTGGCGGCCATTTTGGAGAAAGGTCTATAGCTTTCGCGTTACTTTCCTTCTGATCTGTTTGATTTCTCATGGCTTACTCTGATCTTGAACCTGACCAGATACCGCTGAAGGCGTGGCACAAGAACTCGTTTCAGCAGGGTTAATAAGTGGAAAAGATTTAGTTGTTGGTAAGACGAACTCTTTCAGCATTGTTGTCATCTTTGGAATGGAATACGGGAGGGAATGTTTACTACCTGTCTTCCTATTTATGCAAGCAAGTTGTGTAGACGATCTGACATGTCGACATTTATTATTATTATATTTTCTCAGTTGCAGCTAATCTAAGAAAAGTAATTGATAATCACCAAGCAGTAAATCAAGGACCTTCCCACTCGTAAGTTTGGTTTGTTTGTTTGTTTTGTTTGTTTGTTTGTTTGCTTTGTTGTTTGTTTGTTTGTTGTTTGTTTGTTTGTTTGTTTTCTAGTAAAGAAGTTTAAATATGGTAGGTGCTAATGGTATAATGCGTTGGTCTCCGGATCGAGAGGTCAGGGTTCGAGCCTGGTCGGGTCACTGTGTTGTGTTCTTAGGCACCCAGCAGTATTCTTATAGGGCAATATTCTTAGTCACCTGGCTCCTCCATCCCTAGGGAACGAACTTTATCCTTTTATCTTTAAAGAGGTTGAGTAAAAATTCACAAACAAAACTCTGAATTCGTTAATAATTCATCATGTAAAAACAAAGGAATCATAACCGTGTCGGAGGTTGGATACCCGGTCTTAATTAGCATAGACTTTTAGCATTTTATTTCTCCGTTTACACCTTTTTTTGTTTCGAGTGAGAAGATATATCAAACACTCGAGACAGTGTTTCATTCCGATTCCAAACACCTCTAATTTCTTCAAAAGTACTCCGCTTCACGTCTTATTTTCAACTCTCTTCTGGTGTTCGGAAATCGGATGAAAACACTATTTCTGAGTGTTTGATATATTACATCGAAAACTATATATGCAACAAACGCTTTTAACAAAGGCATACATAAGGCTGGGTTAGCACCTTTGGTCGTTTGTTTGTTTAGTTTGTTTTGTTTTGTTAGTTAGTTAGTTTGTTTTCCTTCTCTTTTCTACTTTATACATGTATGTATGTAGATACAAAATTACCACTTTAATTTATTGTTCTACGCCATTTATATACCGAAATTTTCTTATTGTTATTACTACTAAAACACTACTGTTAGCTACCCTATTATTATTTGTCTTTCTTCACCTCCCGCCTCGAATAGCCCTGCTAATTTGCGGGAGATGAAAATCTATGTATTTTAACCTAAGAATTAATAAAGCTTGTTTATTTGTTTTTGTTTGTTTGAACGATCCCGTTGTGAAGAGTAGCCATTCTATACTTTGTAACTGTGTTACTAAATTTGTTATTTGCAGAAATCAAGTGGCAATTTAAGCGAGTCCCCAGACGACCGGACGCTCATAGGATTCGCACAGCTCACAATCAACTCTTAGCGCAGGGAAGGCCACAATCAGCGACAAGAAAAGATAAATGATAATAATTTAGTTTGTGTCCCATAGCTCATCTCGTACTTAGACCTACACTAGATATTACCCTAGAAGCAGACTAGACTGCTTGCATCCCCTCTTTATCTTAGGGTCCTTCGGGAGCGCGTTCGTAAAAAATGGCGTCAAACAAGAAGGGGTTGGGGCGAGTCGAGAAAGAGAGAGAAGGGTTGGGCGAGACAGACGAGAAAAGTCTCGCCCCAAGCCTTCCCGTCCCAATTTCTCGCGCGCACTCTTCGATTGCGTATTTCGAGAGAAAAACAGGCTGGAGCGAAGCAGTCTAGAAGCAAAGTGCCAAATAAATCATTAGGTGCAACGAGTACCCGAATGTTTACGAATGTTATTAGCCAATCGGAAAACACTGCGGCGAGCAGTCGCGACCATACCGACAGACCTCTCGTGCCTTGTCGTCAAGGATTACGTCATGTTACTTAGCAACGTCTTACGGCTTAGTTAATTCTCAATGACGCTTCACGGATGGCGCTTCTTGAAAATCTAACCTAAATTTTTCGAGTTCGTCATTCGTAATCCGTCTTAATCTTTCCCAATCTTAACATCCTTGCTCCATTTTGGATTATTATTATCTTTTTGGTGTTTTTTCGATCTTATTAATCTATTATTCGAGGTTTCCTTCCATATGAAGGCAGTTTTGTACATGGCAAAAAGTGACCTAAATATTAGACACATTAAGATCGAAGTTTTTTCTCAACCGCTAACCTCAAGATGTCACGTGACCTTGCCTCTTGCCGTCACGTCAGCCGTCTGCGGTCCACATTTCAACGGCAAGAGTCGCCTCTAGAGGTAAGCCATTTCCCGCAGAGATTTTCTGCTGCCTAATCATTGAATGTCACGTTCAAAGCCTAAAAGATGTTTCTTTATCATCTCCAAAACTAGAATTACTGGTCTTGGGGGCTCCGTAGTAATTTTCGTAACGGATTTTGCCATGTGATTCAGGTGACACGAATGGAATGAAAAACAAACATGGCGCCGTTCTTAGCCTAAAGAACAGCTTAATTGACCATAAAGGCATACCGCAAACGGCTAACTTCAACCTGCGGTTTGCGGTCTGAAGTAAACTTCGATCTTAATGTGTCTATTATAACATGACAAAACGCCTTCTATCTAGCAAGCTCCATGGGATGGTTATACTTATAAGTTTTGCTATCGAGAGAAGATAGACGACGTAAAGACGATGAGTAAATCAGTCGGGGGAACAGGTACCATTTGATGGCGAAATCCCACCTCCGAGACGGGGCTGAGCCTGCGGTGTTCGTCCCCGAAGTTGCTAAGCAACATGACGTATTTGCTGGCGCGATTGCTTTGGGAGTACTAGTGAGTGCTCGCGCTAGTTTCTGATTGGATAAAAGGATTCGGAAACCCTTCGAGTACTTCCACGAAGATTTGCCAAAACTGGCACTTGTTTCCCCGACTGAAATTAGAGCGCGGAAAAATTCGCCTGATCGCAGGTTAGAGAAAGTACTCCATTAGCAAGGAACCTATCCAATTGTGGTTAGTCTCGTTAAAAGTCTCTGATGCAGAGACTTGCATGAATTTTAATGGTTTCACTCCGACTTCCTCGTATTGGACCATAAAACAAAACCAAAATTGAAAGTAATTACACAGCCAATATTGAGTGTCGAAAGTGATACGGTACAACACTATGTGCATGATAGGTTAAAGGGACACTGTCCTGATTTTAGCATGATTTTGGGAAGCTCAGAAACATATCTAGATCATAGGAAGTTGATCAATAATGGTTTGATTCTGTAGAATAACACTCGACAAATGACAGGAACCCATTAGGAAGTGAGGATGACGAACGGATTGGAAATGGATTGCAATATGGATTTTTGAAAAAACGTCAGGATGTCAGTTTTTCAAAGTTTCAAATTTGGCTCGGAAATCTTTGAAATTTTGCAAACATTTTGTTGCAGTATGGAATTTCTTGAAGAAATTGCTTGTTATCATTTAGTTAGAGTTTATTAAGTTCTTATTTCATAGATTTAGGGACCATTTCATGCATTTATAACAGTTTTGAGCAAAATACGCCGGGACAGTGTCCCTTTAAAAATAACTCGCGCTACACCTACACGACCAATCGGATGCAAAATCAAAACCGATCGCGACTTGTATTCGATACGAGTTCTCATTGGTTCATTTTGTTAACGTTTCTTGTGATTGGCCATTTCTAATTGCTTTGGTTTTGGTTCTTACGAAACTCGATTAAAAACGACTCTAACTACAGTTACAATAGAACTTGAAATCGTGACTCGGTGGCAAGCGTGGGAAAATTCGCGCGAGTTTAGTTATGATTGATGCTGTATTCCGATTGGTCGAATAGAAAATGTCTTCATTCTGATCGGTAAGCGCGCCATGCACGAATTTTTTTAAATTTTCTTGCAAGGAAGGCGCTTCTGTTTAAGGGTATGTGATTGTACATTTAATGTTAATTATGTTTGTATAGGTCGGGTCATATTCAATGCATACACCATGATAATTTGCGTTTGGAGCGAAAATATAAATGGTCAAGTTAAGCCTAAAATATATGTTATTGAGAAGATATTTTAATAAAGCAACGCTTTCAAAACGTGATGTGTCTTCGTGTCCGTCGTTTTGTTGCAGTCGTGGAAGCGCGGTGGACTAATAGGTAGCGCGTCACGGTTACTCGCAGTGCCTCGCTCCACCATGGTGTATAAACGGATGCAAAAGTGGTAGTGTTTGGGGTATTTCCTCCTAAAGCTACGAGACATTAACCCCAAGCTCCCAACAAGCAGTCCACTGTAGCTAGTCAGAGTTGACAACGTTACCTTTGGTTGTGCGTGCTTTGACGTCAGTGACTCCCCACAATTCCATGCCCCACCGATACAACCTCGTCCACAGGACGATTTTCTCTTCAAACAAGAGGCAGCGTGGGCGAGTGGTGTAGGGCGCTGGTCTTGTAATCCGGAGGTTCCAGGTTCAAGCACTCCATCCTGCCACTAGCTGGATTTGTTCTCGGTAGTCCCGACTTCAACTCCTCTTCCACGCTTGTAAAATAGCCAACTGGTCCCCCTCCTGCCAGTTGAGATTCTTAACTATGTTATGTTCATTTACAATATTTGTTTTTATATGGTCCACAATGTAAACTACTGGGATTACCAGTAATTGTGTATAGCCAATGAAGTTAATTTTTTAAACATGGAAAGGACGTTAAAGGGCGCCTTCCCCTTAAAATGCGTGAAGGATGAGGCTGCCACCACTACCCGTACAGTTCGTGTAACACGATATGAACTGCACGTTCATGTTCGTTCCTCGTGGAATCTTGTGTTACTGATGTCATTGCCTATTTTGTGTGTCGGCCAGAGATTTCTTGGGTACGAGGGTGGGAGAGGCCTTTCTTCCCTCTTTCCGCACTCGCGAGCATAGTACTTTAATAATAAACAATTTTTAAAATAATAAACTTTATTTAACGAGGGAAAACACATAAAGGCCTGGTCAAACGGTCACAACATTCTCACAACATTTGTTGTCGCATGTTGTGACCATGACGGTCAAACGGCCACAACAACCTCGCAACATTTCAAGAACAAAATAAATGTTGTGACCCTGATTCAAACTCTTCACAACATCGCACAACAATTGTTGTGAGGGGTGGTCAAACGGTCACAACATCGATCGGCTCACAACAAATGTTGTGACCGTTTGACCGTGCCTGATTACAATTTGATTAGTCCAACTGCACTTTTATTTTCTTGTAGAATTTGTACTTTGTTGAAACCAGCGAAAGTATTGTACCCGAACAGGGCAGTCACTATAAACAGGCTGTTCCGGTCTCTCGAATTTATGTTTAAATAATGTCAAGTTTTTGTCTTTGTTGTCTCACGCATAGAAACTTCTGTAAATATCATAACATTTGAATGCATTGTTTCTAAAAGCGTATGCATATCATTTAGTTGTATGATTGTGCTTTTCGCATACGGCAATTGTTTATCTGGTAATTTAAAAAAATGCAATGAAAAAATGTAGACATGACTTGAGTAATGAATATGACGGATTTCCAGTTTTTATTCAAGTAGCACGTTAACAAGGCTTGTTGAAAACGAATCCCGATGAATAATCCTGGTGGTCGCCTAAAAGACCTAAAAGATTCATTGTTGGCTCTGTAAAATATTTGCATGGAATTGAGTCGCTTCCTGCTGGTAAGTGCGTTGTTTGAAACCCTTACCCTATTTCAGACCATAATATGTGATTTTTGATACCCTATTTCAGACCTGACCCAAAAATCGATGCCCTATTTCAGACCTCTAAAATAAGTACACGTCTCTCATACTGGAAGGGCTTCCATTTGCGTAAAACTCTAGGCTCGTTTTCTGCCGGCCAAGAAGGGATGAGCGTGTGCTCATTTTCCCGAACTGCGGGTGGTAATCGACCTACGTGATTTGCGAGTATATTTTAGTTATTAATGTTTTATCACCTTCCAAACTTTAGACCGAAAGTGAAAGTGCTTATTCAGAAAAAATCCCCCTTAGTGTTTTAAAAAAGGCTGCGTTTTGGTTTTTGAAAATTGAAATATGGAGGCCGATTTTACTTGATAATCGACCAATTTTTGTTGTTGTATATATGGAACTTTATCGCTCGGTGAGTTTTTAAACCAGTCCAAGTATGCAAGTTTATTTACCACCCCACACCCCCGCAGGCTAATTTACTGTGGGTTGAATGATTTTTCGTCGAGCTTTGTGGACGTTTCAGTGTGTTATTTGCGTTAAGATTTCTTGTGATTGGCCAGTTGGAGTAAACTGCAGCTGCTAATAACATACCTAAGAAGCGGTGAATTCCCTTATTAAATGAAACTGAAAGACATTCGCCATTGGAGTCAATATTTACTGTAGTGTGGGCAAATATTAACATAATTATTCTCTACATCTTCCGTGCTCAAAGTAGCAAACAGCCTTCTCGTATAACCAACCCTACTGGACGATGTACAACAAATGCAAAAGTAACTTTCCTGGTTCTTTGCTGTGAATCAGAACGCAGAGACTAAGCCCAAGGTGAGATCGATGGCTTTCATGTAAATTGCAGTTTGTGTCTACATAAAGAAAGGGCACCTGTTTTCCATATCATTTATGTCTTTGTGTAAACTAACATAGTTTGATCTGTTCGGATTCTTAAACTCAATATTTAAAAGTGGCAGAAGTTTATAAGGACCTGAATTTACGAGCTGCTCTTGCCTTTCTGAAAATCCTAAAACGCGCCTTTTCAGTTGGGTGCCCAAAACGACATTTTTATCCCGAAAGCAACATAGAATAATTTTCCCATATTACGAAAGTTCGAGGTGACATTTCATCTTTTCATCATACTTTAAGGTCATTCCATCGAAATAGAACTTACAATAGATTTTCATTCAAATTTTGCCTATTGGTTGTTTATCTTATGGGAACTTAAATTTTGAAATAAAAAGGGGGTCCCGGTATTCGTTTAGGAGCAGGCGGACCTTGTATATACCCCATAATTCCTTATAATATCAGCTTCCAGAAACGTTTTTATTAGCTAAGTTCACGTTTCCGGTGATTATTTATTATTCTGCAAAAGAAATTAGTCTATATTTATTTTATAGAAAGAAGGTGATTACTAGACTCAAAATAAGAGAAAAAATTGATAGGTCACCGTACTCGTTTACGAGAAAATGACGATTTATCTCTCTGGCGAGCTTAGCCGTAAAGGAAAAGCCGCCATTTTCGTTATGCGCGCGCGCTATATTACGTGTGAAATCATGCGCAGTAAGGATGCGCAATGCAATACTAAGGAATCACCTTACCGCTATAAACAAAGCATCAAGCAGTACACACACAAGTAAACACTGAATCGGTTGTTTTTCCATTTGACATATTTAGAAGAAAACCAAAACAGATGGAAAGTCAGTGATTTGTCAACGATCGTTATGATTGACCAGCAGCTTCTTGAACTGACAAACCAATCCGGTTTTAATGAACAATCATGCTGAATTATTGTGCTCAGTTTATTACCAAACAACATCTTCCAATCCAACCGACGGCACATTTAAACTGTTTGCACCCATTTTTAGGAGTTAAATATTGAAAACATTAAAATGCTTTCGGCTGCTTTACAGTCAGTCTTTCTCAGTTACGGGGTATTTTCTTTATGTAGCCATCCTAACGGATCGTTTCGGTGGAATATCTGTTCGGAAGGCCTATAATCGCCTCGGATATTCGGTTAGGGAAATGTCATCTCGAACTTTCTAAATATGGGAAAATTAATGCCTTTTGTTTTCGGAGAGATAAAAATGTCGTTTTGAGTACAAAAAATGGTCAGCTAGAATTTTCGGAAAGGCAAAAGCAGCTCGTAAATTCGGGTAATAAGAATTCAATCCCTAAAATTTTCTGAAGTTTGAAAGTTCAGCTAACGTATCCGAAAAAGATACATTTTTCTTAGCGTTTAAAAATAAGCCATTAAACAGCACAAAAAGCACAATTATAACGTAAAAACGACGTTACGACACCTACAGGAAAATTGTGTCGTTGGGTGCCCCTGTCTAGAGTGCAAAACTAAATTCAAAGTTGCTATGGAAACGGCCAGTAAGGCGCTAATTATTAAATAGCACATAAAAATGGCTGCCGGGCGCCTGGTTTGCTTTTCCACGAACCAAAATATTGTTGAAACAGCTTAAATAAAAATCGAAAAACGAAAAGCTATACCCAAACATAATTGATTGTGCGGCAGAAAAGGGCGAATGAAAGAAAAGTGAACAGGCCAAAAATTGAAGAATACACCGGGACACGAACGTTAGCATTCGCATCTGTTCGCAGCAAAAATTGTGTTGAGAATATTATAAGTATAGGAAATCGTATGAACGCGAGTGCAATTCGTGATTTATGGGCACGAGTGATGTTTTGAAAGTTCTTAAAATTGCACGAGCCTTTAGGCGAGTGCAATTTGAGAACTTTCAAAACATCACGAGTGACCATAAATCACTAATTGCACGAGCAGTTCATACGATTTTTTGTTTATAATATTCTCAACAAAATTTTGCTGCGGCCATCACGCTACTCTGCCACACGAAACGCTTCACTAGTTTCCAAAGTGCTCACATGTTTTATTTGAACGCGCAGGCGAACCAAGCGTGAACTTTTTGAAAGAAATTACAGTACTATAGTTTAGAAAACAATTAACCATTAACTTGAAAGCTTATTTCAATGCCATTAAGCGGCAAAAAACGACTCTTCTTGTCCGGTACCGTTTATCGCAATATACGGAATTTCCGTATTGCACTCTATAACCTATTTATGCATTCGTCATTGACCAATCAGAAGCTGCATATTTTGTTGAGTATATTATAAACAAAAAAAATCGCATGAACTGCTCTTGCATTCATAGTCGCTAGTGATGTTTCAAAAGTTCTCAAATTGCGCAAAGCTAAGACTCGTGCAATTTTTAAAACAGCACTCGTGCCCATAAATCGCGAATTGCACTCGCATTGATGCGACTGTTTCTACATGTATATACAAATGATATTTCGTTTCGTTCCAGTTTGTTTCACAATACGCCTCCTTGATCTACTGATTTACAGTTCACAACACATCGACAGTTTCTGAATCCTCCATAAACAAGCTCAGTAATGATGACTTCGGTTATTACGGCTGTGTTTAAAGCAACTGTTGGCTTGCTTGTCAATGAAGAACGTCCCAGAGACAAGGCGGACAAGACGACAGCGGATAAGCTAAAAGAGGATGATGAGGCTCATCATAAATTTCGCAGCTTAAACTGTGCGAAAAACCGACAGTGTTAAGTCGAAGGTGGATAGGTTCGCAAGAAAAGATCTTCTTGCGGGTATCAGTTTCTTAAAGGAAGGGATTGCTATCTTGTATCAGGTGTTTGAGAAAACAAACGGCGGTGACCACTACACAGGAACAGTGCAAGCAACAGCAGCAGGAAAGGAGAAAGATGATTTGGTGGACAGCTTACAATCAGAAGCAGCACTAGCTTGTTCC